AGCTTAAAAGAAAGGGATTGGTACATTTCTTATCACAGAGTGTGCCTTTTATCATTAATTCCGCATTGCTCCATGTGTTGTGCGGATTTCAATTTCTATCCATAATTGGACAGTTTTTTTTTCGCAAGATGCGGCGAGTTGTAGTGGCAATTCTTCAAACCGCAAAATATCCTTTTAAGGGACGGGATCAACGGCAGAGGAGAAGGGATACTCCAGGGTACGTGACCAATTTTCATTTGCCCTGAAGTTCCTTCTCCTCTGTAGGCCCAGTCCGTGAGGATGCCCCCGTAAAATGCGATGGCGCTTTTGTTTTTTCGAGCGGAACATCTCTCTAAGGGTTCAGCGATGGAGGGGGGGGGGGGAGAGAGAGAGAAGAAGAAGAGTTTGAAGACGTGGGGGCTTTGTGTACTAGTTCACTTATCCTTGGCATTGACATATGGTAACCCTTATGGAGCATTTTCGGTCCAAAAAGAGCGAAAGATGCTGTCGACACATAATATGTCACCATAAGTGGAATAAACTGTGTTACCCTGCCGATACATGCTGAAAAAAAACAATGGCTAGTAATCTGTAATGAGTACCATACAAGGACAGCATGGGTCAAAAGCCAGTACCATACAAGCAAAGGATATGATGGAAAACTCGTGCTTTCCTGCTCTAAATTTCTATAAGAAAATTCATAGGGGAAGCTCGCACAATATTTTAATGATCGATGCGAGATTCAAATCAGCATTAAAAACAAATAACTAAGTATGGCGTAAAAGTTGAAAGAATTCCATTGTTAAAGAGCAGCATTTTCGGCCGAGTTTTCGAGAATTATTCACAAGCAGAAAAGTATCTAGTATAAGTAAAAATATCTATCGTTGCAATATCGCAAGATCAAAAGGTACTGGAAGAAAAATGGGATATAAGGTGGTAGCGCTAACCTGAAAGCACAGTATCAACTTGGACGCAAAGCTCGTTTCAAACCGCATTTTTTGCACCACGTGCTTGTTGAATCACCAAAGAGTTCCGGGGGATTCACTAAAGCGGAATCCCGCCTTTCCGATTGCAGCATCGCATCTACATATCGCAACACCGCGGCTACCAGGCCTATTAGCATTGTTCTTCGGATACAGCGTTTCATAATTCAATTACCGAACTATTAAAGTGATCTAGCCATGTGGATCGAAGCCCTACATAAGATTACCGTACTCAGCCAGTATTCCAGCCTTCTGTTTAGCCCTTTCACTGCGCAAGTACACTCTTCAGAAAGCTATTCTGTCTACTAACTGGGTGCCTCCACATGCATGTCTTTGGTAACCTTTCCTCTCCTGGAACACAAGTGGATCTTGTCCTTAACTGACTTGCCTATTTAACGAGGATGTCGGTAAACTCGTGTCCCGAAGTTCAGGCATGCTTCCATCGCACCTATAGCGGTGCTATGGGCACCATTGCCGACTGGTGCAGGTAAGAGACCTGGATTCCACTCGTGGTCACCCAGGATCTGATGAGAAGTTTTCCTTGATCCACGTTAGCGAACCAGCTGTCCTAACCCTTTCTTTCAGGGCTACCGTCCTCCTGACTAAAGATAACGTTTTCTATAGTTCATTCTTTTCAGGCGCGTCAACTGCACACACAATTAAATGAATAAATAAATAAATAAATAGATGACAAATACAACTGCAACAGCTTAATCATTCCATTGGCAGAAAACATTAACATTTCCGTGGAAGCCGACGTCATTTGCGGTGTATGGTGTACACCAGCTCTTCTCGTTTTTTGGATGAGGATGCATATGAATATTTGTCGCCCCTTTGAAGCCACGAGTGGGATGAGATCCCAAAAGCCACCCTTTGTCATGGAAAAATTATGATCAGCCATAAATCACTGAGTTGACATATCATCCACGGCAAGAACGAGAGAAGAAAAAAATTGCATATGTTTCGGTGCAAAATTCGAAAAATTGAAAAGACTACCATGCGTTCAAAGTGCCGCCGGATATCTGTCACAAATGCTGGCGACGGGAACGCCTCCACTTGGTTTCCGGAGTGCCGTCACTAGGAACTCTTTTTGGCCTTTTAACTGAATGAGTTAACATTTCGCGTTTCTGCTGCATCCTGTCATATCGATCGCGATTTTGTCCCTGTCTCCAAATTGCAAAACTTTGGACGCCTGTTGCGCATTCTCTCATTGTGTCGCCTCATACGTAGACGCCCAAGACGGACTTCTTTCTATGCTCCGCCTTTGGCTCCGCTTCTTTCACCCTCGATTGTTATTAGAGTCTCTCAGTATTTTGCTGTCCCGGAGCCTCATCAGGACCTAAATGTTATAAAACACAAAGAGGCACCAAAATTTATTTCAAAAGAGTCCCAAAAGTTCGCAAAATATTCGAAAAACTCCAAAATTCCAAAAAACACGAAAAGTTTCAAAAGAACTCCTTGAAATCTTCTGCTATATTTCGGTGTTTAACACCTTCTTCAGGCCTGAAATACATTGATTTAATCACTGGTAAAAACAATATGATTGTTTCCCGAACCCATATATGTACCTACATGTGTATGCCTCAGCCAAGGATTTAGCTGCCCTTACGGGAGCCGCGCCGTTGGAGTGGAATTAAGTGACCTACCGCTCACCCTCTGCTTAAATAGTAGCGGACGGACTGTGACGGTCATTGCATGTGATATTGAAAAACCATATGCCATTGGGCACGTAGTTAATTTAATAGTTGTAGAGCGTCACGTAGTTCGTCCTTACTATTTATTTCGGGTGATAGTTTTCTTATTTCTAATGCCTCCAATAGCCTCCTTTCCACCGGGTTCCCTATGGAGCGGTGTAGCACCTTAATGGTCAACGAAGGCGGTTCCCCAAATGTGTGCTTTGTGGTGCGGTGCTTGGAGAAGCTGCTGTTTGGATACGAGGCTGGGTTTTGTAATGCCCTTCTGTGTTCATCCAAACGCTTGTAAAGAGGCCTTTTTGTTTCCCCAACGTACTTTTGTCCGCATCCTTGGCATTCTATGCATGTATGTTTTATTTATACGAAGTTATGGCATTTATGTTAATAGTGTGTAAAAAGTGTGTTTGTGATTTTTTTCATCATTTCTCCTCGAAAACCGAATCTTCATGCGTGAAACTGTGTGCTGCTTCCAGCTATCACAAATAATACATTCATATTAAGAACGAATGCAAGAATTATCTGGGAAGAACTGCTTCAAATTTCATATTGCCTCTATTCTCTTCTTCAGCGCAAGACAAGCTGTGGGACGCATTTACCTCCCACCGCCCACCCTCCTCTTTCCCTGTGAATGATGACCCATATATCAATGGTGGGGGTAAAATTGTGTGAATAGTTATGAATAGCTGATACAAGGGGGTCGTTCTCGTACCCACCGAAGAATGGAGAAGTCGAAAAATATTTGAAATCTTCATGAAGCACACGGCTGACCCTGGATTCAAGACTTAAGCCTGATTCAAGCCATGCACAAGCCAAGTAGTCAAGCGCGCTTGCTCTAGATCACACCAGAGGTGAACTCGTCTGAAAGAAAGAAACACAGGCATATATCATTTTGAGGACAAGGAAAATGCATGCCGGTACCCTCTGCGTAGTGTTTAACAGCATGGACCATTACTGTTATCCACTTAAGAAAACCGATCTGTGCCGATTTTTAATTTTTTTTCATCACAATATACCTGAATCTACCTTGATGAATCCACTCTTAGTTTGCTTTTGAAAATCAATGAATCGTCAGAAAATGAGATCTGTCAAATTTTTAGAAAATAAATAGACAGAACGCAAACAGAGGGAGGACTTTAATTTCATTCCATTATTCGGCTTATTTGCTGAATCTGATGTGTTTGAGTAGCTTTGGGCATTCAATAAATCAGCGTATAAAAGGTATGCGAGAAATCAGTGGGCATCCACTGTGAATCAGTAGGCACTGTGAAGTATGTGGGTACTTGCCACAGTCACCTACCTGGTAAGCGGATACATAATTTTGAATATTTTTTTCTGTGAGTCACGTTATCGGATATAGTGGAGGCTTTCAGGCCCTTTTCGTCGCGCATCTGGACGAGCATGTAAGTATAAAGTGACATCTTCTCAAGAAGTAAAAAATTTCAAATTTGAACTTTTATAGCAATGTGCTCGGACGGTAATGGAATGACTGATGAATTGAGACAGCTATTCCTCGACCGACACAATATGTATCGGTGAGTCCTGTCTACATGGCATTCATCACAATATAGCAATAACAGTCAGATTATCGGAAAATGTCTAGTTCACGCATTGCCAAGGGACAAGCTGTAAACGGACTTGGTGGTTACCTACCTAAGGCGAAGAGGATGCTAAAGATGGTATGACTATCCTGAGGCCTGATACCTCGATCAAGCTAAGGCTTTGTATATGCGATGCCATATTCGAGCTTTCAGTGAAGTTTGAACTTTAGTCTTGCCAACAACACTGTTTCAGATTTACGACTGCGACGTCGAAGCAAACACGATGGATTACATCAAAAAATGCAAGTTTGGGCATAATTCGTATAAAGATCGAAACTGGTGGGGACAGAG